TACAGAAATGAAATCATACTTAGTATATTTCTCTTCCTGTAACATATATATATCATCAAGTCATTACATAGACTGTAACTCATTTTTTAATAGATGCATAAAGTTTGTAATATGCATATACAGTAAGTTATTTATTTTTTCTTTTTATATCTTTTTTTTTTTTTTTTGAAATGTTCTTAATTTATTTATTTTTGCTGTGTTGGGTCTTTCGTTTCTGTGCGAGGGCTTTCTCCAGTTGTGGCAAGTGGGGGCCACTCTTCATCGCGGTGCGCGGGCCTCTCACTGTCGTGGCCTCTCTTGTTGCGAAGCACAGGCTCCAGACGCGCAGGCTCAGCAGTTGTGGCTCACGGGCCCAGCCGCTCTGCGGCATGTGGGATCCTCCCAGACCAGGGCTCGAACCCCTGTCCCCTGCATTAGCAGGCAGACTCTCAACCACTGCGCCACCAGGGAAGCCCTACAGTAAGTTATTTAACAGGTGTTTTATTGGTGAACATTTAAAGTTGAACCTAGTTTTGTGAGTAGAAAAAGCACTGGAGAACATACCTTTATATATATTCTTTATGTATAATGCTTTTATTTCTGCAAAAGAAATTCCTGAAAGCTGCATAACTTGGTCAAAGGCTCTCTGTGTTTTTAAGACTTTTATTCGAAGCATAACTTACATTAAGAAAAGTATCTTGGTAAGCTTTCACAGAGCAAACACGTGCAAGTATCTGTGTATGTCAAGAAATAGAACACTGCCAGCACCCTCAGAAATCCCTCTTGGGCCTCCTGCCAGTCACGACCTCTGCCTCCAACAATTCAAAACAAAACAAAAAAGACTAAGTTTAAATTAAAAAAAAATTCATAATCTCTGATGAGATTGCTTTCACTTTTACCTGTTTTAGATCTTTATGTAAGTAGACTCAAACAGTGCTCTGTTGGATGCGTCATCTCTGTGAATATTATAATCACCTAGCACCAGCAAGAATATATGTTTATTGGTGTACTAGTGCTCATGAGGCCAAAGTGCAGAATTCCATTTAGGAAAGGACTTGGAGTAGAGAAGAAGACTCGGTTGAAGTCATAGCTGAGCGATAGGGAATGATTCAAGTGTCCTTAAGTCAATCCTAATGAGGGACAGAGGGTGGTAAAGCAGTGCTTCCTAAGGAGAGCTTTTTTTTTTTTTTTTAAGTGAAGGTATAATTTACATACAGCAAATTTCACTTCTTTTGGCAGACATTTCTTTGAACACAGTCATGTAACAACCACTACAATCAAGATATAGACTACTTCCATTTTTCCAAAACCTCCCTTGTGCTTTGCCTGTAGTTAATAACCCTGGTGACCACTGCTCTGTTTTGTTGTCACTTTAGTTTTGCCTTTGAGGGAGGGTTTTTCAAAGAGCTTAGAGCAGTAATTGATTGGAAACAGCCTTGATATAAAGTAGGAGAGAATAAGCAAGCACAGGACCCTTTGAGAAGGCTTTGAAGCAGCATTCTAAAGGGACAGCCAAATTCCAGTTCAGCGAGGGAGGGGATGCTTACCTTCAAACAGGGTTCCAGAGAGCACAGTGGAGAAGTTTGGAGGAAAGGGTAACTGTAGGCGACCACCGACTATGTGACCTCTCATCTGTGTTTTCTGTTTATCAGTAACAAGAACCATTCCCCTTATTGAAATTTCCTTTTTTTTTTTTTTTTTTGGTGACAACACCTCTCTCATTTTTCTATTACCTCTTTGATCATTTTTTTCCCAGTGACTCTTGTTTTCTCTGCTTGATGTGCAAGTATTTCTTGAGGCTTCTGTTCGGGCTTCATTTCTTACTCTGAGTATGAGTTAGCCCATTCACTCTTATGTTGCATCTCCTTTTTCTAAGCCAGTGCTTCCTAATCTTTATCTCTGGCGCAGACTCCTTTCTGGCAAGAATAATTTTTAAAAATAGTTAAAAAAAAAACCAAACTATCCGCTTAAAAAACGAGCGAAAGGGACTTCCCTGGCGGTCCACTGGTTAAGACTTCGCCTTCCAATGCAGGGGATGCGGTTTCCATCCCTGCTCGGGGAGCTAAGAGCCCACATGCCTCAAGGCCAAAAAACCAAAACGTAGAACAGAAGTGGTGTTGTAACAAATTCATTAAAGACTTTAAAACTGGTCCACATCAAAAGAAATCTTAAAAAAAAAAAAAAAAGCGAGCGAAAGACACTTCTTAACGGAAGGTATCAAGATGCCCCCAAAACCTGTGGAAAAGCTACTAAAATTGCTAAAATTAAAAAGACTGACAATACCAAGTATTGACCGTTGACAATACCAAGGATTATAGAACAACTAGAGCTCTTGTATATACCTGCTTGCAGGAGTGTAATTGGTACAACCACTTCAGAAAAATGTTAGTTTCTACAGATTTTTTAAAGATTTAGCTATGTATCTATCTCTGTATAATCTGATGATCTAGCAGTTTTACTTCTGGGTATAGACTCAAGAGAAATTAGTTCTTTTTTCAGTTTTGACTGTGCCGTGCAGCATGTGGGATCTTAGTTCCCAGACCAGGGATGGAACCCACGCCCCCTGCAGTGGAAGTGTGGAGTCTTAACCACTGGATCGCCGGGGAAGTCCCAAGAGAAATTAGTTCTTCTTTTTTAAATTAATAAATTAATTAATTTTTGGCTGTGTTGGGTCTTCGTTGCTGTGCGTGGACTTTCTCTAGTTGTGGCGAGCGGGGGCTACTCTTCGTTGCGGTGCGCGGGCTTCTCATTGTGGTGGCTTCTCGTTGCGGAGCACAGGCTCCAGGACCGTGGGCTTCAGTAGTTGTGGCTCGTGGGCTCAGTAGTTGTGATGCACGGGCTTAGTTGCTCCACTTGTGGGATCTTCCCGGACCAGGGCTCGAACCTGTGTCCCGTGCATTGGCAGGTGGATTCTTAACCAGTGCACCACCAGGGAAGTCCGAGAAATTAGTTCTTATGTGTACCTTGCTATGTTATGTGCACGAATTGTTTCAGCAACTTTATTTATACTAGCTAAAAAATGGAAACAACCCAAATGCTCATGAACAGTAAGTTGGGTAATACAGCACTGTAAATCAACTGTACTCCAATAAAGTAAAACAAAAAACAAACAAAAAAGCCCCCAGTAAACTGGGCAAGTAAATTGTGGTATAGTACCACAACAGAATACTGAACATCAGTGAAAAAGAGCTGTGATTCACAAATTATGTGGATAAATGTCACAGACAATGTTGAGTGACAAGTCAGACATAGAAGAGTACATTCAGCCTGTGAAAGTGATAGGCTGTAAAAGAGTAGTAGTTAGATAGGTGAGGCATGGATATCGACTGGGTAGAGGCCCAAGGGGGCTCTTGGGGTTCTTCAGATGTTTCACATCTTGATCTGGATGGAGGTTCCACAGGTTTATACATATATAAAAATTCATTAAGCTGGACATACTTAAAATTTGTGCACTTGCCTGTGTAAGTTATATCTCAGTTTTTAAAAAAGTGATAGGTTTTCCAATTACATAAAACCATCCTTTTTCTCTGACCAGTTTTTTGTCAGTCATCTCCAGCTTATTTTTGGCCCTTTGCACTTTTTATTCCTGTTACCTCTCAGAATATTCTTTCTTATAGGCAATTATAGATGTTGGTAATATTAAAATATATGTCTCACCAAAGTTCTAGTCTCGGCCATTTCTTAGTTATCAATAAATTATATGTTCCTGTCAGCGCTTAGAACTCTTTCATCGCATACTTTGATCTGTCCTCAGGGCTGGCCTCTTTCTAGTTCATGTTTCACCCAGCGTCTGGTGTATTTGTAGCAACTTTATCCGCCCCCCCCCCATTCTTTGTAATTCTTCATCCAATTCTCCTCAAAGTGTAGACCACAAACGTTATTTCTGGCCCACAAAGGGGTAAGCCTATATCAGAATGTAAATCAAGTATATCACTAAGTACAGGGGTCTGCAACCCCTGAGCCGTGGACTGGTATTGGTCCACGGTCTGTTAGGAACTGGGCCGCACGGCAGGAGGCGAGTGAGCGGAGCCTCATCTGCTTCTCCCCGTTGCTCACGTTACCGCCTGGACCATCGTCCGCCCTGTCTGTGGAAAAACCGTCTTCCACGAAACTGGTCCCTGGTGCCAGAAAGGTTGGGGACCCCTGACTAAGTACTGCTTTTTTTTTTTTTTTTTAAAAGGCTTCCTTGACAAGGAAGCAGCACATTGATTTATAGTCTGGTGTAAACTTGTCATGTTGGAGACCAACACTTCAGGTAAACTGGTTTATGCCATATGAGCTCATAATTCTATCAGATATACAGTATATTGATGGGGAGGTGAAGAGGGTGAGTGGCAGGGGTTATAGTGCCAGTCAGTGAGTGTGGTTTGTTGTTATTTTTGACCTTCTGGCCTCTGAATTCCTGTTTTATGTTTCCGGAATTCCTTTATGATTTTGGTGGGAGCCAGAATCGGCTTGTAACTATAACCAGGTAGATTCGTCCAAGCAAATGCCGCCAGTATGCACAGCAACTCAGGAGCCAGTGGGACAGGAAGGTGGGAACTGGTAGATTCTGTTCTGTCAGGGGTGGCAGTAGCAGTTGCAATAGTGTCTTCCAAGACCAGTTCTGCTGCAGTTTTGGATGTCTTTCCTGGCTGTGTAGCCTATAAGTTTCTTCTAAGATTGTTGTCTACTGGGTGTCTTTCCATAAATATATTTTCTACTTATGTCAGCTACAGTAGGTTTTTGTTGCTTCCAAGGTAGACCCCTGACTGGAAAAGAAATACTTAAAAAAATTTAAAAAATTGTACCGTTAGTTTATTTAAAGGTGATCACAAGTAAATTTTTTTCTTTTTTTTAAAAAATTAGTTTTATTTATTTTGGCTGTGTCAGGTCTTAGTTGAAAATTTTTTTCCTTAAATAAACTTATACACACAAAGGTTTAAGATGTAGACTAAATTTACTTTGTGAGATGTGTTGTAGACAGTAAAGATTCTAAATAATAATTATTTCACTTTAGTATTTACATTTTAACATTTCAGTGTGCTTTATGGACCATGTGCTACTATGTATGCCTGAAGTACTTGAAATGCAAATTTGGAGAGACTTTGCCATCTAAATGCTTGGCTGGATTAAACGCCTAATTAGGATGGTTTTTCAACAGGTTGGAAGCATGCAATCGGTGAGTGCTTGAAATTCATTTTTAAAATTCAGACATTGAGAATTTTTTCTGAGAAAAATGAATCTTATGTATGGCCAACTTAATGTAGTATTTAATTTGCTTACTACTTAAATCATGGAAGTGAATCTTTACCCAGCATCCTAAGTAAGGGATGGGTTGGTTACATTGAAAACTTAACCAATATTCATGTGACTGGTAAAAGCAATGCATTTGTTATTAGTGAGGAAAAGGCTTAAATGTATATAGAAATCATTGAATAAAATATGTTTGACTAATGCTTGACAGCTCTGAATGTTGTAGAACTGTTAATATTGAATGCTCTTATAATGTGGTTTATCACACAGCTGTTTAAAAGGTAAGTCATGTCTCCTAAAATATAACAACTGTAGACACAAAGAAAAAAGTTAGTGTAATATTGTTATTCTGTGCCAAAGATGTTCGGATCTTGACATTTTTAGAAGTATTTTCTACTAATACATACTTTTTTTTCAGATCCAGTGTAAAGTTATTAGAGCAATACTTGTGCCAAGCGTATTTTGTGGAATATTTGTTTCTCATTTTCACATTCAGTGTCATTGGTGACATGGAATTATGTTGTATTCATTAAAGATATAGGCAGGTTACATAATTTGAATATGAGTATACTTTTTAATGCACTACTTTTACGTTTTTATTTTGTGTCTCTTTGAATCTTGCTAAGAGAAGGTTGAACGTTTTGTTGCCCCAGTCCCACAAAGTTCCATCTATTTTCTTTGGAGATAAAAAGCAAAGAACCAAATAATATTACCCCCCCCCTTTTTTTTTAGGTTTTTTTTTTTTTTTTTTTTTTTTTGTGGTACGCGGGCCTCTCACTGTTGTGGCCTCTCCCGTTGCGGAGCACAGGCTCCGGACGCGCAGGCTCAGTGGCCATGGCTCACGGGCCCAGCCGCTCCGCGGCAATGTGGGATCTTCCCGGACCGGGGCACGAACCTGTGTCCCCTGCATCAGCAGGTGGACTCTCAACCACTGCGCCACCAGGGAAGCCCCTAAAGATTTTTTGTTGATGTGGACCATTTTTAAAGTCTTTATTGAATTTGTTACAATACTGCTTCTATTTTATGTTTTGGTTTTTGGGCCGCAAGGCATGTGGGATCTTATCTCCCCGACTGGGGATCGAACCCCCACCCCTTGCATTGGAAGACAAAGTCTTAACCACTGGATTGCCAGAGAAGTCCCTACCCTTTTTTATATTTACATAATTTTGAGTATTATCTTTTGGATAAACAATAGGAAAATGGTTTGTAAAGTTAATACTTTCATCTTTTTCAGTTACATCTTCTAATGTTTTGAACTTCACTTAATGCAGTATACCACCTTTCTCAATTGCTACTTACCATCATTTGGCTACATAGGGTAGGTTAACATTTCAGTACTGACAGCAAAAGAATTTCTTTTCAGAAAGTCAAGAAGCTTTTGTTGCTAATGATTCCCCAAAAGTGAAACTTTACAGTTTATGATTCCTATTTATTTGTAATTTTAGTAAGAAGTGTAGTTGAGTAGAAAGATTGTAGGTCTTGGATTCAAACAAACCTGGGTATGAAGTTTATCTCTGCCAGTTACTTTCTTCATCTACAGATTACAGGTAGGAAGAACTACTCCTGCACAATGAACCTGTGGATTACACGGCAGTGTATGTAAAATTCCTATCACGGTGGTCTGTATGTAGTGTAGGTACATTCAATGACCGGTTAATTTCCTACTGTTTTGCTCTGTCATCCCCCTGCCCCCGCCCCAAGTCAGGCAATGTGACCAGTGCTGATTGAGGCCAAAGTGCAGAATTTTGTTTCAGGAATAGATAACACACTTTATTTAGCTTAGTTTACTTATTTAGCTTTGTTCATTTTGAGCTGTAACATGGGTGCCTTTCATCAAAGAATGGACCAGGTAAGAGAGTATTAACTTGCTCCCAATATTGTAATCACAACTGATTTCTACCAATAGATGGAAAGATCATTTTTTTATGTAACATATAATCATCACCTTTAATCAGTTAACTGAAAATCTATATAAAAATAAATTTTCGGGCTTCCCTGGTGGCGCAGTGGTTGGGAGTCCGCCTGCCGATGCAGGGGACGCGGGTTTAAGGCTCATAGGCTTATGAGGTAGATACTGTTCCCATTTTATAGATGAGGAAAGGGAAACAGAGGGATCAATAATTTGCCAGCTTTATACAGACAATAAATGGTAGAGCCTACTTTCAAAACCAGGCCTATATGCTGCCGTGGTCTCTATGTTTTCTCTTCACTGCGTTCCATTTGGCCTCAACATTTGTTTGAATTTAAAACTATATACAGTTGACCCTTGAATAGTGTGGGTTTCAACTGCTTGCATCCACTTAGATGCAGATTTTTTTCAGTAGTAAGTACTGTAGTACTGCATGATGCATGGTTGGTTGAATCCGCAGATGTGAAACCCTGGATACAGGAGGGCCAACTGTAAAGTTACATGTGGATTTTGTTGGGAAAGTAGGGGAAGTGTTTGGTGTCTCTAACCTGAGCATTGTTCAGGGGTCAGCTGTATTCACATTTGTCCAAACTTTCTCCTCATTCTATTATTACTATATTTATGCCCTTAAGTAAAAATGTTTTTAAACTAGAGAAAGCAAGCTATGAAACTAATGTGATTCTGGTTCATCTCAGTATTTTATGTTGAAAAGTTACAGCAAATATCTAATTTGTATTAGGAATATATTTCCAGTAATACTTAAGAATTGCAACCTTGTTTTCCTCTTCTGTTTTGGAGGAAGAATGTGAATGTGGCTAGGAGTTTAGATAAGGAAGAAAACTGAGGGAAGGGTTGTCTTCAGTTGGGGATTTCAAACTTGTTATAGAATTTCACCTTCCTATCTCCACCCCCTTCTCCCCAGCACATACTTTTTATTTTCCTCTGGTTCGCTTGGAATTAAGAATTTACACTTTGTTGGGTCCTAGACTGCCTAAAAATTTGATTAATGGTATGGACCTTCTTCCCAGAAAAATGTTGTATATGTACATAATTTTGTGTATAATTTCAGGGATATGCGAAATTTTATATCAGAATAAGAACCTTGGGTTAATATTACATAGTTTTTTTGAGAAAAATACATTTGATTAGAATTAAGTTTATATTTTTTCTTGCTAAATGATGACTCTCAGAAATATAGATTTAACTAGTCTCTAAGAAATGAATCACTGTATAAAGCTTGAGTGCAGTCATCATGGTGAGACAGATGACATTTTCAGATTCCAGCCTCACACTTCAGCACTTCGACAATAGCATTTCACATTGTTAACAAAGAACAAATTGCTCTCCTGGTGTCATCATCCTCCTTGCTGTCATCACAAACTCTGTTGCCAGATGCTATGGACTGTCATTACTAGACTCAGACATGCAAACATGCACAACCCACACAGATTCATTATTACATTATTTATCAGTAGTTCTTATAAATAAAGCAGTTTTTTTGTTTAATAATAATAATTAGGGCTTCCCTGGTGGCACAGTGATTGAGAATCCGCCTGCCAATGCAGGGGACACGGGTTTGAGCCCTGGTCCGGGAGGATCCCACCTGCCGCGGAGCAACTAAGCCCGTGCGCCACAACTACTGAGCCTGCTCTCTAGAGCCCGTGAGCCACAACTACTGAAGCCCGTGCGCCTAGAGCCCGTTCTCTGCAACGAGAAGCCACTGCAGTGAGAAGCCCGCACACTGCAACGAAGACACAACACAGCCAAAAATAAATTAATTAAAAATAATTAGTTACTTAATTTTTTCGTAATGGAATTGAATTCTTGTTTCTTTTTTTTTAAATAAATGTATTTATTTTACTTATTTTTGGCTACCTTGGGTCTTTGTTGCTGCGCGCGGGTTTTCTCTAGTTGCGCTGAGCGGGGGCTACTTTTCATTGCGGTGCGCGGGCTTCTCATTGCGGTGGCTTCTCTTGTTGCGGAGCACGGGCTGTAGGTGTGTGGGCTTCAGTAGTTGTGGCACGTGGGCTCAGTAGTTGTGGTGCACGGGCTTAGTTGCTCCGTGCCATGTGGGATCTTCCCGCACCAGGGCTCGAACCCATGACTCCTGCATTGGCAGGAGGATTCATAACCACTGCGTCACCAGGGAAGCCCAATTCTTATTTCTTAATGAAATCGAATTGTCTAGTAATGACAGTTTTCTCCCTGCCCTCTCTCTTAGATCTGAAAAGATATTAATGACAGTTCATCTTTAGAGGAAACCTTTCCTTCTCCAAACAAGTGTACTGACAAGACACAGTTCAGTCACCAGTTAGGGTAGGAGATGCAGCCTTGGGCCATACAGCCTCCCAATGCACAGATGGTGACTTTCCATACCATCTGTTCATTATTTCTTCACAGCCATTTACAATTTCTCCCCCTCTATGAGGGCTGAATAGAAAAAATAAAGTTAAGACCTAGTTTTAGACTTCTTGGAAGTTAGCTGCTCCTTCCCCTTTTTCTTCAATCCCCTGAAGGTTATGGCTCCTCTTCTTTCTAAATATCCCAGTCATTAGCTTATATAGATTCTTGCTTCATAATTTTTGGTGCTAAATGCTATGCAGTTCACAAGTAAGAGAACAACATTATGTTAGTCCACTGTGTATACTTGAAAAAATAATCACATAAGGCAATCTGTTTTACTTTCCTTAACTTTGCATCAAAAGCCTAAATAGTCTACTTATTCCTTATAAGTAAAAGCTGAAGCTTTGGCCACCTTCCCTTGTTGAAGGCACCTGGTATTCTTTCCTTCTGATATAAAGCAGATGGGAAGATAATAGTTGAAACTTAGCCCTGAAGCATGCATAGCAAGCAAGGCTAAAAGCTGGCAGAAATCTTAGTTTCTGACCTTGGCAAGTCCTTTTTGAACTTTTCTTCGTGAGCTTTTTGTCCTCTTCATCTGCAGTTAAGATCTTTGCTTACTGGAGGGATGGAAGATTCACATTAGACTATGTAATTGTCACATTGTGATGTATAAATAGCATTCTCCTACATCATAGAGTTTTGACTTATGGCTAAATAGAAGACACGAGAAATGATTGAGTGGTGTAGTTACTATTGCCCTATGGATTTTTTTTAAAAGATCGATGCCTATTAACATGTATAAGGTAAAGAGTTTGCTTAAATACTGTCTGTTTTATTTTATTTTTTTACATCTTTATTGGAGCATAATTGCTTTACAATGGTGTGTTAGTTTCTGCTTTATAACAAAACGAATCAGCTGTACATATATCCCCATTTCTCTTCCCTCTTGCTTTTCTTGGCCTCCTATGTTGGGTTTGTAAGGCTGTGATTCTTCCGTTTTTCCTCTGGTTGGATGATTTTCCTCCTCTTGGTCCTCATGTGTTATTAACACTATTCATGTGATAATCCTCTGTATGATCGTTGGTTTGAATGATTGCTTTCCTGAACTCCACGTAATTCTCTTCTAAGCTTCACAGTAACTTTACCTCTTATATTCTTTGTTTAATATTCTTATTTCAGTATTGATGTCTTCTTATCTTTCCACTGACCAGCTTTCCAACCTGTCCATCCTTTTAATTTATATTTCTAAAGCAGGAGTTATAGTTTTTGTTGGTTATAGTAGCCAGTGTAGGTTATAGTACTTTCTGGAGCTCTCCCAGGTAAACAGTCAGTGAAACTCTGAACATTTTTTTAAATCCATTAAAAAAAATTGAAGTATAGTTAATTTACAATGTTGTGTGAGCTTCAGATGTACAGCAAAGTGATTCAGTTATACATTTATTTGTATATATCTGTTCTTTTTCAGATTCTTTTCTATTATAGGTTATTACAAGACTTGAATATAGTTCCCTGTGCTGTACAGTAGGTCCTTGTTATTTATCTGAAACTTTGAACATATTGATGATGAGAATTTTATGAGCAGAGGCAGATGCCAGAGGTATTATATATACCCCACGATCCTCACTTTGATTCATACTGTTAACCTTAAATTGGATTTGATTGCTAAAATCTAAGAAGTCAGATTGCTTCTATGCTCGTTTTACAAGTTGTGCATGCTTTTAGAATGGTCTAAAGGTCTAGTTAGGGTTATGTGCTGGAGCCATGGCTGTTTACAGTAACACTGCTTGGTCATACTGTAATTCCATTCTTTAAATTAGAATGGGCATGGAGTGACTTTAAAAAGGGGTCAGTGTCCATTGCTCAGAATACATGCCAGCTGATTTGGTACTATTTATTTAATAGTTTTAGGATGCAATTGAATGTCTCAGTTGAATGAATTAGTAAATAGTCATATCATTCTCGTTCTTTTTTTTCCAAATTGCTTTTAATAGTATACCACCTCTCTTTACCTCTTCTGTCCAGGCTTTCAGGTATAGCACTCAAAACAGATGGATAGTTTTTCTCTTTAAGGAAAGAGCATATACTTGGGGAGAAGTTTCAAGGTACAATTTGTAATGATTTAACATTCTGCCTGTGCATTTTTTGTTTGCTTTTTGCTTTGGAGGTTTGTGTTTGTTTTTGCTTTAAGCGTAGCATAATGTCCTCTGTGTATTATGATTTCATCTGAAAAATTCTGCTCATTAGGGTTATCACTAGCCTATTTAGTACTTCTGTATAAATTAGGAAAAGACACCTTTCCCCTGAGACAAGGCGTCACAAGAAGATGTAGTACAGCTGGATTTTGGCCCCCACTCACCCTTGGCCAGGCCTTCTCGTGTAGCAAACAAAATGCAGCATCCTGCATCATACAAATTCAGATTCTGAACTTTGTACTGATTTGCATTTGTTTTGAAAGTCTGTTATAAGTAGCTTGTAGTTTTGAAAAACTTATAGATAAAATTCTAAAAATATAGCAGAGGAGATAAAATAGTTTACAGAGTAGTATGAAAACCTAATGAAAATAGATGAGCTTTTACTCCTAATATAATTTTATTTTACAATTACTAGTAGTTCTTTTTTTTTTTTTTTTTTTCCTTTTGGCCATGCTGCATGGCTTGTGGGATCAGATCCCCAACCAGAGATTGAACCACCAGGGAACTTCTACTAGTTGTTCTTTTACATTTTTATATAATGCCTTACATTAAACGTTATTGCATTAGTAACAACCTGCTGTATATATTCTTTAATTTTTAATTGAGAAATATTAGCTCATTTCCCGTAACATATAGAGCTTTGTGATCCCATAATTAATGTGTCAGCATGTCATGCAATTAATTGTCCAGTGCTTTGTATTTACAGTTCTGTAAAGTCTTGTAATTAAACTTTTGGTTTTTCCTACTTAGGTACTTTGGTCTGGAAAGCCATATGGTTCATCTCGAAGTATCGTAAGGAAAATTGGTACTAATTTATCTCTGATCCAGTGTCCAAGAGTTCAGTTTCAGGTACTGTATTTTATATATTTCAAATTTTATATTACTATGTGCATTGGTGATGTAAATAGGCCAGACAGCTTTAAAAGTACTTTTTGAACCTCTCCCCACTATTGATGCTGCTATCAATAAAATAAAAGAGGATAAAAACCACGGTAAAGTCTTTCTAATTTTAGTACCTCTGTGAAGTGATTATTCAAGCTCTGTAAGACATTTATCCTTAAGAATACATACAGACTTAGAAGCATATAATAAGCCGAGCAGTTGTTAATTCTCAGGTGACCTTGAGCATTGTCTTCTGGCACCGAATCAGGAGTAGCTCAACTCTGCTTGGAGATAAGTTGCTATTTTCTTGATTTGGATTTTTGTTCCTTACGGTTGTTTTAGTGTGAGACATGTATCACATAGCTTTATTCTTGTTTTTCAGTAATTCTCTACAGTAGTAATAAGAAAATTTTTTAGTTCAACATTTAAGTATATAAAGTTCAGATAATCTATACCAATTTTAAATAATAGATTAGCATGTGAAATGTGGAAGATAAGTTTAACTCATAATTCAAAAGGTCAAATGTGGCCCTGCGAGCTTATTAGATGTCTTACTTATAAATCACTCCTCCTTGTAGAGAGAGTTAAAAATCTAAGTATGTGGTAGAAATTAGCATTTGTTCAGGTTGACTAACAAGGTTGGTCATTGTTATGCCCACTTGCAGATTGACTGGCAAGACCTTTGTGCATCAATCTAGAGATTGACAGATTGGAACTTTCCAGAAGTAATTTTTATCAAATGATGGGCTTTTTAAAAAAATCACAGTAGAGAAACCTATGATAGTAATTCTCTCAAGCACAATTTCTGGGAATTCAGTTCACTGAGACACCAATTGCTGATTGCTTTATTTGCCAGTTTCCTTCAAATAACTATTGTGTTAACTAAGACTTAGTAACTTTTCTTCTGATTGCTCCATTCCGTTAAAATTTTATCTATCTGCTTAACCTAGTTGCAGGAGAACTTGCTTCAGCATTTGTGTTCTCATAGCTAGAGGTGTATGAAAGGACGTAGAGATAATCCAGCATTTTCTGGTAGCAAAACCCAAATCTGCCTTGACAGTCAGTGGGCCGAAGTACTAGGGCCAAGTTCATTGTCTTGGCAGGATTCTCTTTCTCAGTGTTATTAGTCACTTAGAAGCATCTGAGCAGAATAAGAGTTTTAGGTTTAGTACAGGAGCTGCATTTGAAAAGAGAGATTAACATAAAGGAGAGGAGTAAGGTAAGAGGAATGTTGGTGACCTACTTGAGAATGTAGTAGAAAACAGAAGACATTTGTTTATAGTGAGATTTTTTACTTCCAGGCAGTTTTGTAGCATGCTGCGTCTTTTCAAATTCAGCATCAATCTTAAAGTGAGTGTTTTATCTGCTACTTATTTAGATATTTTAAATCTGCTATCATTCTTCTGTATCTTCTGTTTTTTTTAATTTAATTTTTTTACTACATCTATCAGAAATATAAAAAATGTAGAGTCTTCAAAAAATATAAGGGGTGCAGTTTAAGAGTAATAAAATTGGCAATTCATTTTTGCTATTTTTTTTGGCTCATTTGGAGGTTTGATTGATATGGAATGTATTTGGACTGTCCAACATGAGTAAATACTGCTATAGAAAGTCTGGAACTGGGGAACCACTGTGGGACCCAGGGAGGGAGATAAAAGTTGAAATAGATTAAACTTGAGAATGAGGTGTTCATGGGTCAATTCAGAAGCAGGAGTTAGTGGTCAAAGCCAGTCCTTTGTTGTCCTGGGTGATTTCACTGTCTTTTGGAACTTAGTCTCATATTTTCTTTTCTTCCTCTGCTCCTGTTGACTTTTACTTCTGTTCCTTTTCTTATACCCAGCACTCAATAGGCATCACCTCAAGTTGGTCGCCCTCACAAGAGTTTCACCTCCAGAATCTTAAGCCTCAGTATGTTCCTTCTAAATAACACCATCTTTTCATTGTTGTCAGCTGACCCATATATCTGCAGACAAGTAAGACTCACATAAATGATGGGCAAGACAGGCATGTTACTTTGTGTTTTGAGGGTTAGACAAGATAATCCATGCAAAGCCCTGAATATCATAACTGGTACATAATTAGTGCACAATAAAAGTATGTTAGTGGTGGGATTTTATTGTTATTGCCACTTTGCAGCAGAATAGCAGATTAACTTACTTGGTTGTCTAAGTGAACTCCCTGGTTTTACAGATTGGATTTTTTTTTCTTTTGGCTGTGCCGCTTGGCATGCGAGCTCTTAATTCCCCAACCAGGGATCAAACCCGTGCCCCCTGCATTGGAAGCCTGGAGTCCTAACCACTGGACTGCCAGGGAATTTCCAAAACTTTTGTCTTTTTTTTTTTTTAAACAAATTGGATTTCTGTGTATTTATAGGTTCACAAATCAGAACACAGATCAGCACATTTATTTACACCTTCATCCACTTAATGGGCCCAATGAATATTGGGCTGGGAATAAAATGAGGTAATGAATGTTAAAAAAAAAAACATATAAAAGCACTCAATGTTTATTTGCTCTGTTTGTTGGAATGGAGTTCAGAGGTTTTGATTTGCAGTGGTTCTCAATACTGGCTGCATAATTAAATCACCAGGAGCTTTAAAAAATAACATATCCATGCTCAGGCCCCATCCTCCAAGGCCCCAGCCTCCTCGCAAAAACACTTATGGAACGTATAAAGAATATAAGGTGTCATCCAAGGCTTACTAAATCCAAATTTCATATATTCGATTTTTTTGTTCATTTGTTTTTCAAAACCTCTTCAGAAGCTTCTTATGCAGCCGAGTTTGAGGACTTCATTTACAGATTGTGTTTTAGTATTTTGGTAAAGAAAGTTTACAGCAGTAACATAATTATCTATTGGCAAATTATGAAAGTAATCACTAAAGCACCTTTGGGGTCATTTTTATAAATTTCAAATTTTATGAGTTAAAGAGAAACATGGAACTTAAGTGTGGCTTATTGGGGTAATATATACAACACTTAGAAAAATCTAAGGCAAAAAAAAGTGCTCTTGCATACCATCAGATAAGGGGAGGGTGGGCCCTGTGCTACAGTAGTTTGAATCCCTGCTCAGTAACTGGCAGAACTCTGGGAAATTTAACCTGTATTACCTTTTTTTCCTGTGGAAACCTTGCCCCAGGCTATTTTCTTAGATTGCTAGGAGTGATTGTTGGAATTGGTGGTGGAGGGAATGTTCTGTAACCAAACAAGTAATGAATAAGATTCTCACTGAAGTCCACACACTGTGACTAAAGGTGGAAGTAAAACAGCCGCCTGCCACATGGCAGCCCATCTTTATTTAGCAAATCAACTTGAAATTCATGCATTATGTTAGGTGCTGTTGGTCAGTGGTGAACCAAACAGACACGATCTCTACCCTTACTGGGATATGGTTCAGTGGGAGAGATATTAAGCAAGAAAATATGCTAATAAGCATAAAACTTGTACTAAGTGCAGTGAAGGAAAAATTGGTATAGCATGGGGAGACTAACAGTGGTGGTCTGGGAAGGCATCCCTGGAGGAATGACAAATAAGGATTAAAAAGAGCCAGCCCCTCAGAGAGTTAGGGAGAGGGATGGAGGTGGGGCAGTACTGGCAGAGAGAACAGTAAGTGCAGAGGTCCTGAGGCAAGACAGAAGTTACTGTTGAGCTAAGACAAGGCCCCTCTGTCAGGAGCTAGTGAGGTGGGAGACCTAGTGTGGTATCGTAGTGTGGTATCATGGTCTTTGATGTCTGAGCCATCTGTGGATAAATACCTGGATTCATACTAAAATTCATTGTTAAACTTCATATTTTTCCCAGTTACTGTCTGATAATCTGGACTATGGTAGCATGTGATGTCATACATGTGATGTCATACCATTTCTTGATATTTTTAGCTATAAAATGGCCCTTAAGGGTAACTGAATCCAGATATATATGCATTATGTTTTATAAATTTGGTAACATGGCATAGTAATTTGAAGCCCAACTCAGTAAATAACTGTTAGTGATGTTTTATTCATTCTCAGTAATTGACTTCTTACAGACTTGTTTTTCCATGGAAATACTGTTACTTACCTTCCTAGGTTATTTTGAGAGATACACACACACATTTCCTTCCCTCTTGTCTCTGGTCCTTTTTCTTCTCCCTATTCTCCCCTCACCTTCCTTCCCTCCCCCATTCTAGGTGTGTCATGAATAGGAAGGGTTAATAGATGCTCAGTTTTTTTTAAAGTGACCACATTACTCAGCAATATTAGTGCCTGTCTCAGCTAGAATATTTAGTTTGGTGTTCTTTACTCAGGTATACCTCTTGGCCTATTGGTGTCACTGTATGTCACTATATTAAAATGCAGAAATTCTGCTTTTACTTTTTCTTACTATGACAGGAATTGGTAGAAAAAGAGGAATAATTAAATCTGTAATTAAAAATCTAGAAGTTATTTTACTGTGTTGCTTTTAAGAATACATGTTTTGCATTTGGCTGTAAACAAAAGGTGGTAAAGTAGACTGAGTATATTTACTCTTACACCGTTTTTGGCAAGAAACTGAGAGAATCCTACTTCCCGGTGCCAGTGTATTTATTTTATGAAAAGTCACATGAGGACAAAGCGAGCTCTTCTAATATTTTATTCTAAGTATTTCAACTTTTCTACAAGCTTTATATTTTTCTTTTATGCGTTTTATTAAATAAATAAATTTCTTCAGTGTAGTTTTACATTATCAGAATATTTAAAATTACCTAAAATTACTTCAGTAAAATTCTAGAAATATAATTGAATCTTGGATAATTTAAATTGTTTCAAATGTTGATTTGAATTTCTTAAGATCAGTAAAAATACAATGCTCTTACTGAATTTTGCTGTGAATGAAATGCTTTTCTTACTTTCTGAAAGGAATTTGGATACTGATAAATCAATAAGCACTAATTTTATTTTAAATTTTATACTGCCCTTGATTTTGAAAAAAAAATTTTCTGTCGTCTTTTTTTTTTCCCCTCTACTAACAATAGCTGTGGTAGGACAGGACCTTGCTGGAACCTTCAGTAAGTTGACCTTTTCTTTTTCAAACTTCCCATTCATCATCCATGCATGTCAGTAGTGGTGTCTAAATCATACCTCCAAGAATTCCATGCCCTCAGTCCCCTTGCCTACACTGACCTCACCTAAACTAGTACTTTACTAGGTGCACTCTACTTCCTGTTTCATTCTTATGCTACTGAGTGCCCATTTCGGCAACAACTGAAGTGGCCTTTTAAAAAAAGCTTAGATTTTTTTCAGTTTTATTTTGTTTTTTTGTATGAGTTTCCCCAGGGACTTTGTTAGGCTTCTTTTTTGGTGGCAAAAATCACTGTTACAATGTAAGTACGTGACTTAAATACTAAAACTACTTTGTTTTGTGGCGCAGGATGTCAATTAGAAATGATACAGGTATTATCAATTCTGGAATTGGTTCCTGACAGTATCATTAACATTTTTCTCTTATTGAGTACATGTTATAGACATGGTATTATTTCAGTGATTAAATATAATCAATCCTCAGTAAGATTACAGACTAAGTCCATGGAATAATTGGGTTTTTTTTAAAGTTTGTGCAAAAAGCAACATTTCATGTTTAATATGCGAAGTGTTACAGATGTAAAATTGAGAAATATTGTATGATCTTTACATTATAAAATAAAATACTTTGAAAGGCTGTCACAGAATGGGTTTAACTTATATTTTTGAGTATTCTTAGAAAAGTATTTTGCTTCCTTTTATGAACAAAAATATCTGGGAAGAAAACAGCAATTTTTGTAGCTTTTATGGGAAGGTAAGAAGTCTTAAGATCAAAACTAGATTTTTATTTATCTTAAATATACCTTTCTTCCTACCAACTAGTAAGTGTATTGGAACAAAATTTTATTTTCTAAACAAAGAGTTAGGTAACTAAATTGATCTTCATGAACTAGCACCTTAAGGAAGGGACCATTCAGGTTTTACCTTTATGATTTGTCACTTGTACAAAATAGCCCATTAAATACTGTATTTTCTAGGAGCTTCCACAGAGCTTGGGGGACCTTCCTGTTCCCGAATCTCCATGTAACCCACTTAGAATCTCCATTTTATAATGTTATGGGAGTATTAATATACCATTCTGTTCTTAGTAATGGATAGCAACAGAATATTGCCAGATTCGCAGGATCTTGAGACCAGATGTGATGCCCAGTTCATTTATATTATTTAAGTTGTACAAGATACCAGTTTACTGAAAACTATTTGTTTATTGACTTATTTAGATAAATTTCTGAAACATATAAGGGAGAAGTAGAAAAATCTTCTTTTTGGTTTTTCTTTGATCATATCCCTTGACAATGTACTTGCTGAAGCTTATACTTTTTTTCTCTTCTGACCACAGTTACTCCACTGTGTGCCTTAAAACACTGTTTTTTTTTTTTTTTTTTTTTTTTTGGGGGTACGTGGGCCTCTCACTGTTGTGGCCTCTCCCATTGCGGAGCACAGGCTCCAGACGCACAGGCTCAGCGGCCGTGGCTCACAGGCCATGGCTCTCCATGGCATGTGGGATCTTCCCAGACCTGGGCATGAACCCGTGTCCCCTGCATCAGCAGGCGGACTCTCAACCACTGCGCCACCAGGGGAGCCCAAAACAGTGGTATTTTGAAAGCTTTTTCATCTTAATTCCGTTATTAGTTTTTTTGGTTTTGCCCAGGATTAAGTTCTTAAATCTCTACTCTTTTAATATACTTGTTTTCTTTCTTGTCTGTACCCCTGTCCTTCTCCAAAGCCATAATTTAAGGCATTTTAAATACTTGATATTCTTAGTATCTTGTTAAAATGTCAGTTTTCTAATACTACTCTATGAAGTTGATAATGTTGGGTAATTATGATATCTGAATGCGTGCACATACCAGTAGCCAATACGTTTAGTTAAAATTTTATTCTTAATATTAAAGATATATTATTTAAAAACTAAAGATATATTATTTAAAAATTTTAACCATATTAGTATTATGTGTTTGTATGGTATATTTTACAGTTGAGGAACAAGTATTATTTAAGTGTAGCTTCCAAAAGCTTCATCTGGCAATGATAATAGTAAGAAGGTTCAAACAAAGCATGGGTTACTGTAGAAGCTTTCTGATAAATACATGTAAATCTCTTTGGCCTCTTAAACGTTTTTCTTCAGTTAAAAATCTGCATTTTCTTTTTTATTTAAACCTTACTTCAACTTGTAAGAAGTATTACATTAATCTGATAACTATTATTCATTGGCCATCTGGCTCTGAGGCATTATTCTTATAACAAAACTTAAATTTAATTCAATTAAGTTATTTTTCCATTTTTTGAAGGTCAGTTTCAGAACTTGCATGCTTTTTCTTTGTTATATTTATTTCAGAATATTCTGTTCCTTCATCTGGGTGTTTAAGGTTAGCTAGAGAATTCTGTTCTGCTATTTGTATTTTTGGTTCTTTAATATAGTTAATACTTTAATTTAAAAATCAAGGCCTCTAATGATATTTAAAAATGTATTTTCATTATTGTAACAGTGTATCTATATAATATCCATTTAAAAATATTCCCAGATTTAGCATAAATTGGTCACTATACTTTTTACTAAATCTCTTCAGAAAAATACTGATTTATAATGTTTAAATTCTAAAAATTTTCTTAATATTTTAGGATGAATAGAGGTTTTTGTTTTTTTTAATGAGTCTCATTTGACCTGTAAAAAATTGAATGAGTTAAATTATAATTCAGAGATTGCATGCACTATTAAACAACAGTATGACATAACTAAAGGTCTCTTTCATGGAGACCTTCAGTGGAAATGCTAGAAACTGTCCATGTGTTTGTAATGCTAGAGCTGATGATTTTCCTTAAGTAAGAAAATGTTTTATTGTACCATTTTGGTGCTAGATGAAGAACTTTCCCTATTTGTAACTTACAGCTTACCAGCCCTACAACAGAATGGAGCCCCAGACAGCCAGGAGAGGATGCGGTGGTGTCTTTTGCTGATGTTGGATGGGTAGCCAAAGAAGAAGGAGAGTGTTCAACAAGACGAAGGTTAGTCTGGATGGCTATCAGAGCTGAGATGCGGTATTTAGTATTTTAAGATGATACATTTACAGTATTTCCTTTTATTAGCCTAATTTGATCTCTTTTAACCCAGTTCTTCTTTTTTTTTTTTGAGCGGTCATCTTTTCTGTTCATTTTAAACACTCAGCTGGTATTTGTAAAGTTCTTAGAGACCTGTAACTGTGTCCTTAGTCCTTAAGAATTACGGAATTCCTTGCCCTTCGGAAGTTACATTCTAAAATGAGAAATCAGAAAGACCTATCATAAATACGTTAAGATAAGTAAGTAATTCTAATGGTCTCATTGAGGCAGAGGAATCACCGTGGATCATATTAGGAAATTTGTATAGTCAAGATAGGTTTTTTTTTTAATAGATCTTCATTGGAGTATAATTGCTTCACGATACTGTGTTATTAGTTTCTGTTGTACAGCAAAGTGAATCAGCTGTATGCATACATGCATCCCCATATCCCCTCCCTCTTGAGCCTCCCTCCCACCCTTCCTATCCCACCCCTGCAGGTCATCACAGAGCACCGAGCTGATCTCTCTGTGCTATGCGGCTGCTTCCCACTAGCTAACTATTTTACATTTGGCTACTCTCACTTCACTCCAGCTTCCCCTTCCCCACCCCGTGTCCTCAAGTCCGTTCTCTACATCTATGTCTTTATTCCTGCCCTGCCACTAGGTTCATCAGTACCCTTTTTTTTTTTTCTTAGATTCCATATATGTGTTAGCATATGGCATTTGTTTTTCCCTTTCTGACTTACTTCACTCTGTATGACAGACTCTAGGTCCATCCAATTAACTCAACTTCGTTTCTTTTTATGGCTGGGTAGCATTCCATTGTATATATGTGCCACATCTTTATCCATTCATCTGTTGATGGACATTCAGGTTGGTTCCATGTCCTGGCTTCAGGATGAGTTTTGATTCAAAGGAGACAGTATGCAAGAGTTAGAGAAGTGCTTTCATTTATTTGATATAGAGCCTGAGTAAATTATTGACTGCTCTTCATTCTCATAAACACCTATTCAGCTTATTCAACTCCTTCTTAGGCATCAGGGATACATAGATAAAATAAGATACAGTCCCAGCTTTCCAGGAATACTTGCTAGAGGAGATTACAAAAGGAAATCAATAATAGCAATACTGGAAAGACTACTAAGTGAATACAGGAGGCCACTGTGGGATGAGAGCTTCAGCAAGGCTTCTTAGGGGGAGGGGATGATAGAGCTGAGGGGCAGTAGGAGCCACTCAACTAGGAAGGCTGTATTCCAGGTAAAGTGAATGTGATTAAAGGTACTAATCGGGAGGCCACATGGCATGTTCAGGAAACTCCAAATGGCTCCATGAGACTAGAGAGTAGCAGAGAAGGGAAAGCTGTAGGAGATGAATATGGAAAGTAGGTCGAGGTTTAAAGGTCATACATGTTAGGCTAAGAAGTTTACACTTTTTTCCTGAAAGCACTGTAGAGTGATGGAAGAAATTTAAGCATCATAGTAATAATATCAAATTTGTGTTTTAGTTAAATTTCCTTGTAAACAGTGTAAAGAATAGAAGGGAGCCAAGTTAGGAAATAGGCTAAAAGATGATAAGAGTGTGACTAAATTAAGAAACTGACAGAAGGCATGGAGAAAAAGGATAAAATCAAGGGATACTCAGAAGAATTTTAAACTTTAAGAAACTTTTTGGGTATTGGGGTTGAGAAAGGAAGAGTCTAGGATAACCCCCAGGTTTCTGGCTAGGATATGAGAATGGTGGAACAGTTAATAAGAATATAGGAAAACAGATTTCTTTCTGGAGGGTGGGAGTAAGAGGTAGTCCAATGTGGAATATGCTGTGTTTGAGCTTCCTGTGGGACGTTGACATTGCTCTAGAGACAGTTTATGTAGCTAGATATTGATAAAGAATGCTTGCACTTCAACATGTGGATAGAATGGCTGGTACCCAGAGTACTCAAGGAGCATATATAAGACATGAAGAGCATTTGTATCCTGGATAAAGCTGGCATTTGGGAGTAAATCAAGAGAAAAAAAAAAAAGGAGAAAGAAGGGACTCCCCTACCTGCCAGAAGTAGCTCAAGAGGCAGAAGGAGAACCAGCAGAGAGTGTTGTCATGGAAGCAGAGGTAGGAGACCTTCAGGGAAGTAGAATAAACTTCCATCAGTGTCAGATACTTAGAGGCTAAGTAAACCAAAATCCTAGCAAGTTTCCATTTTGTTTTGCAGTTGGAAGATTATCATTGACTTTAGCTAGAGTAATTTCATTTGAGTGGTATTAGCTGAATAAAATAAGAATTAAGTAATCCAAGAGCAAAAAAGGAATTTAATTTGAATGACAAGTAGGAGTGAGGACATAGCAGTAGATGAACAGACCAGATTATTGCAGGATTAGCAGATAAAGAGCCTTTTTTTTTTTTTTTTGCGGTACGCGGGCCTCTCACTGTTGTGACCTCTCCCGTTGCGGAACCCAGGCTCAGCGGCCATGGCTCACGGGCGCAGCCGCTGCGCGGCATGTGGGATCCTCCTGGACCGGGGCACGAACCCGTGTCCCTTGCATCGGCAGGCGGACTCTCAACCACTGCACCACCAGGGAAGCCCAAGAGCCTTTTTTTTTTTTTTTTTTTTTAAAGTCTTTATGAATTTGTTGCAATACTGCTACTGTTTTATGTTTTGGTTTTTTGTCCGCAAGGCATGTGGGATCCTAGCTCCCTGACCAAGGATCAAACCCACAACCCCTGCATTGGAAAAAAATATGGAATGCTTCACGAATTTGCATGTCATCCTTGCGCAGGGGCCATGCTAATCTTCTCTGTATCCTTCCAGTTTTAGTATATGTGCTGCCGAAGCGGAACACAGCCTTTTTTTTTTTTCGGTACGCGGGCCTCTCACTGTTGTGGCCTCTCCCGTTGCGGAGCACAGGCTCCAGATGCGCAGGCTCAGTGGCCATGGGTCACGGACCTAGTCACTTCGCGGCATGTCGGATCTTCCCGGACGGGGGTACAAACCCGTGTCCCTTTCATCGGCTGGCGGACTCTCAACCACTGCGCCATCAGGGAAGCCCTAGCCTTTCTTTTTAAGATGTTTATTTTATTTTTTTGATTAAACTTCTTGAGATAATTGTAGATTCTTCACATGCAGTTACAAGAAAGAATACAGAAGCATTTCCTGTACCCTTTACCCAGTTTTCTCCAGTGGTAGCATCCTGCAAAACATGGTACACTATCACAACTAGGATATTGATACTGGTTAAGTCAAGATGCAGAACATTTCCATACTACAAGAACCCCTCCTGTGGCCCTGTTATGGCCACACCCACTTCACTTCCATCTCCAACCCCTCCTTAATGGCAATCACTTATCTGTTCTCCATTTTCACAATTTTGTCATTTCAAGATAGTTATATAAATTGAATCATACAATATACAACCTTTTGGGACTGGCTTTTTTCACTAAGCATAATCTCTAGTGATTCATCCAGATTGCTGTGTGTATCAGCAGTTCCTTCCCTTTTAGTACTGAGTAGTATTCCTTGGTATGGATAGACCACAGTTTGTTTAACCATGCACCAGTTGATGGGCATCTGGATTGACTCCAGTTCTTGGCTTTTATAGGTAAAGTTAATGTAAATGTTACAGGTTTTGAGCCAGCATACGTTTTCATTTATCTGGAATAAATGCCCATGAGGGCAGTTGTTGGTTTATGAGTCATAAGGTAGCTGTGTGTTTAGTTTTAAAGAAATTGACACACTATTTTCCAGAATGGCTGTATTATTTTACATTCCCACCAGCAGTGTATGGCTAAGCCAGCTTCTCTGCTTCCTCACCAGCGTTTGATGATGTTACTTTTTTCCTTTTTTCTTATTTGCCATTTTAATAGGTGTGTATTGTACATCTCATTTTAATTTGTGTTTCCTTATTGGCTAATAATGTTGAACATTGTTTCATATGTTTGCCATCTTCATATGCTTTTGAATAAAATGTCTCTCCACGTCTTTTGCCCATTTTCTAATTTGGTTTTCTTTTGCGAGTTCTTTATATATGCTAGGTATGAGTCATTTTTCAGAGGTTTGGGTTTGTAAACATTTTCTCCCAAATGTAGGGCAAGTAGGACAAGTTAGATCTTATCTTTTCATCTATTTAACAGGGTCTTTCACAGAGCAGAAGTTTTATATTTTAATTCATTTGTTTTTCCCTTTTACGGATCATGCTTTTGGTGTCAGTGTAAGAACTCTGTGCCTAAGTTAGATCCTTTGGATTTTTCTCCTGTTTTTGTTTTTTTCAAGTTTACAGTTTTATGTTTTACAATTAAGTGTGATTGTTTGTACGGTTTTGGTGTCAGAGTAATACTAGCTTCAAAAAATGAAGCTATCTATTTTTTGAAGAGATTGTATAGAACTGGTGTTAATTCTTTAAACATTTAGGAGAATTATCCAGTGAACCATCCGGACCTGTTGATTTCTTTTTGGTGAGATTTATTTATTTGTCTGTCTATCTATTTATTTATACATACAGAAAGGCATTTTATTTTAAACAAAGCAGTGTGTACCTGTCAATCCCAAACTCCCAGTCTATCCCTTCCTCCCACCCTTCCCCACTGATAACCGTAAGTTCATTCTCTAAATCTGTGAGTCTGTTTCTGTTTTATAAGTTCATTTTTGATTCCGCATATAAGCGATATCATATGATATTAAGTGAAGTAAGCCAGACAAAGACAAATATCATATCTGTCTCTGTCTGACTTACTTCACTTAGTATGATAATCTCCAGGTCCATCCATGTCGCTGCAAATGGCATTATTTTATTCTTTTTATGGTTGAGTAATATTCCATTGTGCATATGTACCACATCTTCTTTATCCATTCATCTGTCGATGGACATTTAGGTTGCTTCCGTGTCTTGGCTATTGTAAACAGTGCCTGCAGTGAACATTGGTATGCGTGTATGTTTTTCTCTGGTTATATGCCCAGGAGTGGGATTGCTGGATCTTAT